CACCCTTGTAAAAGGAGGCAATCAAGAAAAAAAGAAACAGGGTAGGGTCATTTAAAAATCTATATTTCTTAATGGAAGCTTCCTGGTGTAGTGTAAATTCTAAATTGTTTAAATCATTACACATTGGGTCATTCTATATGCTATTTATAGAACATGTGAGTTTAAGCTTGCCTTATTTCTTTCATGTCTGAATTGTGTTTTTGTGAGTATATTGAGATAATTCGATAACATTTTTATGAACCCTTATATATACAGATATTAGAAAATAAAACTCTTTAGGAAAACAACTAGATTATGACGAGTGGAATTTAAAAGCATGCATCCGGGTAGTGTTAATTCACATTTATTTTGTGTACCCTTAGGAATAGTTGAGATTAATAGGGCTTAGAGTTTTACAATTGAATTTGAATTTGAAATTTTTTTTTCTGGAATAGCAGGTTTTGTAAAATCATATTTTTCATTATCAATGTAGTGAATGCACAAATTCATTTTATATTACATAAGGATCATCCATAAGAGAAAATATAAGTCCAAGTTAGAAGCATGTAGACTTTTCTTCCAAGGGTTGTGATAGCCTATAAGATTATTATAGTTTATGAAGTACATATGCATATGTAAATATCAAATATTTGGTCTGGATATTTTTGGATTTTATTACTTTTAAAGATATGTCTCTTATCAGTGCGATAAAGACCTTAATTGTGACCTTTCTATTTCAAAGAAATTTTGTATGTAAGGATATGCACATACATAATTTGGTGAAACCTGCTCTAATCACTGCGCCATATGGGCAACAATAAAAAGAAATTATTAGACTAGGACAAATTGTCATGTTGTAATACTGATGAATGCCTGTACTATAGACATATTTCATGTTCATTACATATTTTAAAGGATATAATGTTTTAACGCAAAATATTACAATGAGGGTATCTCAAATGCCCAGAAAATTCATCCAATGGTTTTTAAGGTTGACAGTTTTAATTTCGCAAGGCAATTGAACACTTGTAAGAGAGAACATTTCAGTTGTTGAGGTACAAGTAGGTGATAATAAATGGAAATAATAAGTTATATAGAGCACATATTTGTCTGGATAACTCGTGTATATTTTCAAGATGAAATATTTTTATTATGCAGATGAGTTGCACATGTATAAGAAATATGCATGCACATAAATTTTTATATGCCCGGATCGATAGATCGGGGATATATAATGTTAGCTCACCTGAGCTGAAAGCTCAAGTGAGCTTTTCTGATCACATTTTGTCTGCATCCATCTGCCTGTTTGTAAACTTTTCACATTTTCAACTTCTCTAGAACCACTGGGCTAATTTCAAACAAAATTGTCACAAAGAATTCTTGGGTTAAGGGGATTCAAGTTTGTTCAAATGAAGGGCCACATCCTCATTCAAGGGGAGATAATTGAGAAAAAGTGAGAATTTGGTGGCATGCTTTAAAAATTTTATTCTCAAAAACCACTGTGCCAGGAGAGATGAAACTTATTGGAGAAACATCCTCAGGTAGATTCAAGTTTGTTCATATCATGAACCCAGGAGGGGCCAAAATGGCTGACCATAGCTTTACAAAGAAATATATAGGAAAATACTTTTAAAATAGCAAAACATGATTGATTGTATTTATATGGAAGCATCTTCAGGTAGTGTAGAAATCATAGCTTCTGGTGGTTAAGCACGGCCACAGTGGTCGACAAAAATTTTACATAGAAATATGAAAAATTTTTTTAAAATCATCTTCTTCAGAATAACAAAACCATGGTTGATCATATTTATATGGAAGCATCCTCAGATACATGTAGTGTAGATTCAAGTTTGTTCAAAGCATGATTCCTAGGATCTTGGGTGGGGCTACAATGGCTGACCAAACAGAGAAATATATAGGAAATTCCTTAAAAAATCTTCTCCAGAATAACAAAGCCATGATTGGTCATATTAATATGGAAGCATCCTCAGGTAGTGTAGATTCAAGTTTGTTAAAAGCATGAACCCTCGGGGTTTGGGCGGGCCAACAATAGCCAATCAAAGTGTTACATAGAAATATTTGGGAAAATTCTGTAAAAATCTTCTTCTCAAGAATAACAAAGCCATGATTGATCATATTTATATGGAAGCATTCTCAGGTAATGTAGATTCAAGTTTGTTCAAATCATGACCCCTGGGGGTATGGTGGGGTCACACTGACTAATCATAGTTTTGAATAGAAATATATAGAAGCATTCTTTAAAATCTTTTACTCTGCTTCTGAGTATTCCTTAACAAAAAAATACTATAGTTAACTATAGTAAACTATAGTTACTTAAAACTTTGATTTACTATTGTGATAACTTTGACACTTTGAAAAACTTTGGCGAAAACTGTGACACTTTGAAAACTTTGGCCAAAACTTTGATACTTTCAAAAACTTTATCCAAAACTTTGATACTTTGAAAAACTTGACAATTTGGAAAACTTTAGCGAAAACTTTGACACTTTGAAAAACTTTGGCGATAACTTTGACACTTTGAAAAACTTTAGCGAAAACTTTGACACTTTTCAACTTTAGCGAAAACTTTGACACTTTGAAAAACTTAAGTGAAATCTTTGACACTTTGAAAAACTCCGGCGAAAATTGACACTTTGAAAAACTCTGGCGATAGATTTGACATTTTTTAAAACTCTGGCTAAAACTTTAACACTTTGAAAAACTTTGGCTACAACTTTGACACTTTGAAAAACTTTAGCAAAAACTTTGACACTTTGAAAAACTTTAGTGAAAACTTTGACACTTTGGAGAACTTTATGAAAAAAAACTTTAACGCTTTGAAAAAACTAAAGCGAAAACTTTGATACTTTGAAAAACTTTAGCAAAAACTTTGACACTTTGAAAAGCTTTGGCGAAAACTTTGACACTTTGAACAACTTTGGATAAAACTTTGATACTTTGAAAAACTTTAGCGAAAACTTTGACACTTTGGAAAACTTTGGCGATAAGTTTGACGCTTTGAAAAACTTTAGCGAAAACTTTGACACTTTGAAAAACACTAGGGAAAACTTTGACACTTTGAAAAACTCTGGCGAAAACTTTGACATTTTGAAAAACTCTGGCGATAACTTTGACACTTTGAAAAACTTTAGCGAAAACTTTAACACTTTGAAAAACTTTGGCGAAAACTTTGATACTTTCAAAAACTTTATCCAAAGCTTTGATACTTCGAAAAACTTGATCCAAAACTTTGACACTTTGAAAAACTTTAGCAAAAACTTTGATACTTTGAAAAACTTTAGCGAAAACTTTGACACTTTGAAAAACTTTGGCGAAAACTTTGACACTTTGAAAAACTTTGACGAAAACTTTGACACTTTGAAAAACTTTAGCAAAAACTTTGACACTTTGGAGAACTTTATGAAAAAAAACTTTAACGCTTTGAAAAAACTTAAGCGAAAACTTTGATACTTTGAAAAACTTTAGCAAAAACTTTGACACTTTGAAAAGCTTTGGCGAAATTTTTAAACTTTGAAAAACTTAAGCGAAAACTTTGACACTTTGAAAAACTTAAGCGAAAACTTTGACACTTTGAAAAACTTCAGCGAAAACTTTGACACTTTGAAAAACACTAGAGAAAACTTTGACACTTTGAAAAACTCTGGCGAAAACTTAGACACTTTGAAAAACTTTGGCGAAAATTTTGACACTTTGAAAAACTTTTGCGAAAACTGTGACACTTTGAAAAACTTTAACGAAAACTTTGACACTTTGAAAAACTTTAGCGAAAACTTTAACACTTTGAAAAACTTTAGCGAAAACTTTGACACTTTGAAAAACTTTGGCGAAAACTTTGACACTTTGAAAAACTTTAGCAAAGACTTTAACACTTTGGAAAACTTTTTGAAAAAAAACTTTAACGCTTTGAAAAAACTTAAGTGAAAACTTTGATACTTTGAAAAACTTTAGCAAAAACTTTGACACTTTGAACAACTTTGGATAAAAAAATTGACACCTTGAAAAACTTAAGAGAAAACTTTGACATTTTGAAAAACTTTGGCGAAAACTTAGACACTTTGAAAAACTTTGGCGAAAATTTTGACACTTTGAAAAACTTTTGCGAAAACTGTGACACTTTGAAAAACTTTAACAAAAACTTTGACACTTTGAAAAACTTGAGTGAGAACTTTGACAATTTGAAAAACTTAAGTGAAAACTTTGACACTTTGAAAAACTTTGACAAAAACTTTGACACTTTGATTTCCTATAGTTAACTAGAGTTAACTATAGTATTTTTTTGTTAGGGTTAAACCAATGACTATGTACATAATTATGATGAGGAAGGACGTCTCATCCAGATTTATGAACTTCAGGGCCCCACGGCCAGGAAGTTTTGATGTTAGGGCGGAGTACCTATAGTTTATATTCAAAATTGTTTTTCATTTTAAATAGAATAGATAGAAATGTTTTTTAATAAAAAAAAGAAATCCATCACGTGACACCGTTGATACTTTCAGATTGATAAACAAACATAGCGTGAAGAAAACCTGGTAGGCCGTTTGAGAAACAAGTCACTGTTGACCAGGATGGCAAGTTTCTTACTCTTAATGATACTTATCTTTGAACGTGATCAGTATCAACCATCTACTATGTTATGACGCATATTAACCTTCTATTAATAATCGATGTCGAAATGCAACATACCTTGTCTATGATTTCCCGTGGACGTGCATGTTTATATATAGGGCTACTGTTTATGCACTTCCTTCATCATCATTCATGAAAATTCTGAATTGCAGATATTGCTTAATTGTTTAGTTATTACAACAACTTCTACAGTAAAATATTGTGGGTAGTATTAATTTTTCATTAAACTTTTCTTCTGATTCAAATCATTTCAAGCAGTTTGTTTCACTCAAAAATTGGCTTTCAAACAGCCAGTATTACTTTAAATATAATGAAATAATTTTTTCTTTAGGGCATTTATAGTGATCTATGGTATTTTATCAATGTTTTTTCAGATGGCAAAGAGAAAGAAAATGTCAACAAGACAGCGAATGCTACAAGACAAAATAAGAAAAAGAGAACAGAGGCAAAAGCCTGCAGGAATTCTGCCAGATGAAGTCTCAGCTTTGACGCCACAACAGTCTGCTGTTCCCTGCGGAACAGTGCATGGAGCTGATTCAGCTCCTCCCGGTAATTTTCCGGGGCTTGGTTCGATGGGGTTTCCACCTAAAGAGGAAAAACCCCTGGCCAGGGTGCAGGCCTCACCTCGAGTGAAAATGCATTCACCTGCCCCGAGGTTGTCACCTCCTCGGGGAAGTCGTCTGTTTGTCCATGACGAGGGCAAGGCACCGTCCACTGACTCCCCACCGTGGGTTTGTGCTCCACCGAGGGCACCTGGATCGGACATAGTGCATATGTCTGATCCAGCAGGACAGGCACAGCTGGATACCTCCAGGATGGAGGAGACCAGTAGAATATCAAAAGATGAGGGCACTTTAACGAATTCTAACATGGAAACTGAACGAATATCAAAAGGAAACTTGAAGGAAAAACCTGATATTATAGAAAGTATAAACAGAGAAAGAGATATGTTGGAGACTGTAAAAAGTATGATGGATTTGAGAGAAGTTACAGAGATTATAGAAAATGTCAGAGAGTCAAGTGATAAAACTAATGATAAGGAAGAAATGAAGGAAACAAATGAGAGTAAGGTCTTTAGAAAAGTGAGTGAGGAAAGAAATTCTAAAAGTTGGAATATAAAAGATATAAATGAACAATGTGATCAGAGAGAAGGTTGTAATGTGCAGGATGAGGGAAATCATGATTTGAAAGCAAGAAGTTTGTACAATGTATCTGTTCAGGGCTCTTTCCATCAAGCTGATCCTATGTTTGGTGACACTGCAGGAACTCAATGTGTGGCAAATTGTTTATCAGGTTTGGCTTATCATCTTCTGAAAAGTGCACAAATATGGCAAACAGCTGATGTTAACAAAGTATTGGTGAATGGAGATGAACTTTACACATACCTGCAGAACTGTTCTTCAATTACAAGTAGGTATTTGTTAGTTGATGAGTTACCACAGTATTTTGAATGCTTTAGCAACACATTTGACTTTACTGTGAAGGTATCGGTACCAAGTTTCATAAGCTTATCAGAGGAGGAGCCATGTTATGAAGATTTTAATGCTTATCCTCTTTTTGAAGCTCTCCAAATGGCACTTACCGAGACAAATGGGTGTTTTGTGTGTTTTGGGGGAAATACCCTTTTAATTGGCAGAACTACTGATGGCTTTTTCATATTTGATTCACATGCACGGTGCTCTCAGGGATATTTAAGTGTTAGAGGGAAAAGTACAAGAATTTTGAAAAAGGATGTTCAGGATGTGTGCTTGCATCTTAGGTCTCTGGCTCTTTCTATGGGCTTTTCAAGAATTGTTGAATGTGAATTAACTGGAGTGTTGTGTTCACTGAAACATTTTGCTATTGCAGATGTTTATGAGGTTGACGGTTCTGAAGAACAGTCAGAAGCAAATGTATGTTTTACGCGAGGTACTTCAATGTTAAAGCAATCAAAGGATGAAGATACTTGGAGATATTCAGGAGCATTGAAAGATTCAAATCAGTGTGGGTTATTGTCAGTACAGTCGGATGTATTGCAGACAGATGATTTAATTTTTATTGGTCAGGAAGTCAAACAACATGATTTTATTCCTTTGTCAGTACAGAAACAAAGGGAGTTGTGCAAAGAGTTGGGATTTTCCTATTCTGTTTCTAGATGTGAATATGATGCAGTGTCCATAAAAGACATGGATATACCAAGCAACTGTAGAGAAATAGAAGGAGATGGAAATTGTTTTTTCAGGGCAATATCATACAGTCTTACAAACTCTGAGAACTATCATCAGCATCTTAGAAAAGCTGTTTGTCAACATTTGTTGAAATATGAAAAAAAATTTCAGCAGTTTATGAGGTGTGAGGGGTCTTTAAGATCATACTTACTTTCCAGTGAAATGTCAGAGGACGGTATATGGGCTACTGAATTGGAGATTCTTGCAATGTCGCACATGCTGAATATAGACATTTATACTTATTCAGATATGAAATGGATTCAATTCAGTGGGGAAGAACCAAATCATGAACCGGGTGAACATGATGGTGCTATTTATTTATACCACAGGCAGCAGAACCATTATGATGTGGTTTTAAGTGTAGTTGCGAGGATGTCGGAAAGCAATTCATTCATCCAAAACAGTTCGAGCAAGAGAGAGTATAACTTGCGCAGGGGAAATCGAGATCGAATGAAAGGAAAACGAAATGCTTTTAAAATGAAAAGGCCATTAAAGTTAAAAGAAACTCGTAGAGACACATTTAGGAAAAAGTACAACGGAAGTGAAGAGTTTCGGGAAAAAATGTTGAAGCAAAAGAAAAACATGTACTCAACTACAGAGCATAAGTTAAAAACTCAGATGAAGAACAAAGAAAGGTATCATGCTTTAGATTCAGAACTTCAAAGGGAAGTGCAACGAGCAAGTAGAGAAAGAAGTAAACTGAAGTACTCAACTAACGTTGAACACAGAGAGGAGAAGAAGGGGAAAAGTATTCAGAAATACAAGTGTGATGCTCAGTTCAGAGATCAAGTGAAGGAAAAGAGCAAAGAAAAGTACAGGGCAAATGTGGAACATCAGGGAAATGTCAAGAAAGCAAGTACTGAGAAGTACAAAACAAACTTGGAACACCAGGAAAATGTAAAAAATGCAAGTACTGAAAAGTACAAGACAAACGTGAAACACCAGGAAAATGTAAAAAAGGCAAGTACTGAAAAGTACAAGACAAATTTGGAACATCAGAGAAATGTAAAAAAGGCAAGTACTGAAAAGTACAAGACAAACTTGGAACACCAGGAAAATATAAAAAAGGCAAGTACTGAAAAGTACAGGACAGATTTGGAACATCGGGAAAATGTTAAGAGAAGAAGCAGAGAAAAGTACAAAACAGACCTGGTACACAAGTCTAAAGTTAAACAGGGAGTTTTAAAAAAATACAAAGAGAATGAAACATATAGGATAAAAAACAAAGCTGCTAATGTTCTTAGATACAGTACTAATGCAACTTTTAAAGCAATTGTTAAGGAAAAAGCAGCAAAGAGATATCAGACTGATACCAAAGTCCAATCAGAAGTGAAGAAACGTAGTAAGGATGGCTATCACTCATCTGCAGAATTGAAAAGGAAGAAAAAAGAAGAAGTTTCACAAAAAAGGAGGCAAAAGCAATTGAATTTGGAACATGAAGAGGAAGTAATCAGACTGTTTAAGAAAAATGCAATGGAGGGACCTGATTTTGTGTGTACGTGTTGCCATAGGCTATTGTTTAAAAGTCAAGTTCAAACATGTGAAAGGCAGATGTACGAGAAAAGTGAATCAGCAAGAACTATTTCTAACATATGTTTGTTAGACAAGTATTTGCATGAATGTTCTGACTCATGCCCAGAAGCATGTACCAAATCTTCATTATGGATTTGTTATACATGTCATAGGAAAATACTGAGTGGCAAAGCACCAGCGGAGGCTGCAGCAAACGGTATGATTTTAGAGGATATTCCACCCGAGTTGTCTAAATTGAACAGTTTAGAACAGCATCTGATTGCAATTCATATACCATTTATGAAGGTTATGGCTCTACCCCATGGTGGACAAAAAAATGTTCATGGACCTGTTATTTGTGTACCTTCAGATATGAAAAAGACTGCCAACTTACCAATGAAACAGGAGGAGAACTTGTTGTTACGTGTTAAATTGAAAAGGAAATTGAATTACAAAGGCTATTTTGAATACCAGTTCGTTAATATGAGCCATGTCATGACTGCTTTATCATACTTGAAGGAGAATAACCTTTGGTACAAGGATGTTAAAATTGAATCAAGTATTGAAGAAGGTTTGACGAATCATGAGGAGAGGACAGATGTTGTAAATACAGAGGACAACGAAGAAATTGAAGAGGAAATTGTTTCATTTGACACATGTTTACAGCCTGTTGATGTTGCGCAGGAAGTTTTAGACCACTACTTTGATGATGTGTACAACATTGCACCAGGTGAAGGGAAAAACCCTATTCGAATGTTGCAGGAACCTGGCAATGAAGCAAAGGCATTTCCTTGTCTTTTTCCAAGTGGTTGTTTTTCTTGGAATGAAGAAAGATCAGAAAAATTAACACTTTCTAAGTATTTCAACAATAGGTTAATGAATGCAGATGACAGGTTTGCTAAAGATACCAATTACATTTTCTTCAGCCAGTACATGTCTGAATTGAACCAAGTGATTGAAAAAACACAAATTTCACTTCGAAAATCTCTATCAAAATGTACTAGTGGGAAACCTGTAACAATAGATATGCTGCAAGATCCAACTACTCTCTGTAGATTGCTGAGAAATGATGATGCAATTAGATTTATGCAACCGATAAGAGGAACACCAGCTTATTGGGCAACTGCTCAAAAGGACCTCTTTGCAATGCTGCGGCAATTAGGCATCCCTACTTGGTTTTGTTCGTTTTCTGCAGCAGAGTACAGATGGAATGATGCTGTTAAAGCTATATTACAACAGCAAAATGATAACAGAAATCCTGATGAAATGGAATGGTCAGAAAAAAAATGAAGTTCTAAGATGCAATCCAGTAACAGTGGCTAGAATGTTTGAAAATAGATTTCAAGTATTTCATAAGGAGGTTATACTTTCCCCAGCAGAACCAATTGGAAAAGTAGTAGACTTTTTTCAAAGAGTGGAGTTTCAGCAGAGAGGATCTCCTCATATGCACTGCTTATACTGGGTTGAAAATGCACCCAATATTGATTCTGATGGGGAAGAGGTTGTATGTAGCTTCATTGATAAGTATGTGACATGTGCTATACCATCAGAAAGTGATGATACAGAATTGAGGAAAAGTGTGTTAGATGTGCAGCAACACAGCAGAAAACATTCAAAATCTTGTAAAAAGAAGGGAACTGAATGTAGGTTTAATTTCCCGAGGCCTCCATCACAGAAGACATTTATTACAAATACACAAGACGAAGAGACATCAAATGAGGATGAAACGGAGAGAAAAGTAAACAAGGAATATGCAAAGGAGATATTACTTAGTGTTTGGGATAAGTACAAAATGAAGATGACACATTGGGAACAACAGAGGAACTATTTGATAATCTGTCACTTACACAGGAACTGTACGAAGAAGCCCATAACATGTTATCAACAAAAAGGTCAATTATTCTCAAACGATGCCCACATGAGGTATGGACAAATCAATATAATCGATGTCTGCTGAAGTCATGGGATGCAAATATGGGTATACAGTTTGTACTAGACCCATTCAGTTGTATTGTTTATATTGTTTCCTATATATCAAAGTCAGAGAGGGGAAATGGGTATGTTACTCAAGCAAACAAAAGTAGAAGCTGAGGAAGGAAATCTCGACGCCGAAACAGACCATGAAAAAAATTGGTTCTGCTTACTTACATCACAGAGAAGTGAGTGCACAGGAAGCTGTATACAGAATCTGTAGCTTAAAAATGAAAGAATGCTCTCGAAAAGTTGTTTTTGTGCCTATAGGAGACAACCCGATGCGCTTAAGTAAGCCATTATCTGTTCTGAAGAAGAAATCATCCAAGGATACAGAAATAATTGATGAGGAAGAAGATGAGAGAATGAAGTTTGGATGACCAACATTATAGAACGTTATTTGAACCGACCAGAAAAACAAATTTTCCAAGAGATGTGCCTTGCAGAATTTTGTTCTGAGTTCAGAGTTCTTGCGAAATCTCAGGTTCCTAAGAAAGAAAATCAGAATGTGTTTGAATTACAGAATGGGAAAGGCTTTGTTCAACGAAGAACTAGAACGCAACCTGCTGTTGTTAGGTATCCAAGATTCAGTGTTGAAAAAATGTCCGAGAAATACAATCAATCTCTTTTTGCAACTTTTTCTTCCTTATTGGACAGAGGCACAGTTGAAACCACCAGGATTCGAGTTATATGAAATTTTTTATGAGACAGGCTTTGTAAAAATTTCTGGAAGAAAAATGAAGGAATCGGTGAAGTCAATTGTGGATTACAATCATTCACGTTATGCAAAAAATGAAGATGTAATTGACAATGCTCAGGAAGCATATGAGATGATAGGTGAACCTGAGGATGCTTGGTCAAGAATATGTCCAGAAACAGAGGTTCTGAGAAGGGAAGGTATAGCCCAGAGAAAGGCAAAGTTCAGTGCTAGAGGAGGAAAATGCACCGATATTATTCCAGAGATTCGAAAGCGAGACACATAATGCAGATGTCATGTATCATATTCAGCAAAATGCAATTACAAGAGAGGAAATGTTACCTGTTCTTCAAAGATTGAATGAAACACAGAGTGAAATATTTTACATGGTGCGTGAGTGGTGTCTTGCAAAGATTGGAGGAGAGAAATGCGAACCCTTTCATTTATTTGTTACTGGAGGTGCAGGAACTGGAAAAAGTCATCTGATAAAAGCCATCCATTATGAAGCATCACGTTTGCTTTCACAGATTATGTCTGAACCAGATAGACTATCAGTTCTTCTCGCAGCATTTACTGGAACTGCGGCTTTCAATATTGGTGGAAATACTCTTCATCACTTGTTTTCGTTAACAAAGTTTCTTCCCCTCCCGTACGAACCTCTTGGAGAACAAAGTCTCAGTGAATTGAGAGTAAAGATTGGAGATCTGCAAATTCTTATCATTGATGAGATATCAATGGTTTACAAAAGGCTACTGTACTATATACACGAAAGACTGGTGCAAATTAAGAAATGCAAAGAACCGTTTGGAGGGATTTGTGTTATTGCTGTAGGGGACTTTTACCAACTTCCACCTGTAAAGCAGCGAAAAGATGAGAGACTTTACAAAGAAAATATGAGTTATCCTATGGACTACTGGCTTGATTTGTTTAAGGTCATTGAATTAAAAGAGATAATGAGACAAAGAGATGATCTGTGCTTTGCTGAAGTTCTGAATTCCCTTCGTGTCAGAGAGAGAAATGAACCATTAACAGAGGAGCAACGTTCTCTGCTAGATGATTGTATCAGGGAAGGGCCAGAAGATGTTCTCCATGTGTTCTCTACGAATGAAGAGGTGAATACATTTAATTTGTCAATGCTTAAGAAATCTTGTGAAGATTTACTGGAAATTGATGCTGAAGACTACAAGAAAGACAAAACAACCGGGGAACTCATGCGAAGAACCAAACCTTTGACAAGATCGAAAAGCGATGGACTTCCAAGCTCGTTGATTTTGTCTGTCAATGCCAGGGTAATGCTTACAAGAAATGGTAATGTTGAGGATGGTCTCGTGAATGGAATTATGGGACATATCTGTCAGTTTGCTTCTGTAGAAAACAGCGATAGAAGTGTCAGAGCTGTAGGAGTTGTGTTTGATAATAAGGATGTTGGGAAGAAGTCCGGACAAAACACAAACGATAAGAACATAGTGTTCATAGAAAGAGTGCAAGAAGAGATGAAAGACAAGGTATCCACGGTGGTTAGACACCAATTTCCAATCAGGTTGTCTTGGGCATGTACAGCTCATAAGGTGCAAGGGATGACGACAAATAACGTTGTTGTAAATTTAGACAAAGTATTTGCCCCAGGCCAGGCTTATGTTGCATTATCAAGGGTTACTTCAAAAAGTGGTCTCTTTATTGATACAGAAGACCCTGTTCAATTGCAAAAAACTGTTTATGCTGACCCAGAGGTAAAGGCAGCATTGAACGTAATGCTGAAATATACTTTGTCGACTATTCACGGACTTTACCTGCCAATGGGTATGAAAATAGTTCTGCATAATATACAGAGCTTGAACAATCATTTTGCAGATCTGAAAAATGATACAAGGATCAAACAAGCAAGTATTATTTGTTTGACAGAGACATGGTTAAGATCGAATTCAGAAGTATGTACTTCAAGGGTTTCAGTTTCATCATCTTCCTAGAAAGGAAGCTTATGACGAGAGCACAGTTTCAAACCAGAGTTTACGCAATTTGTCAAGAGGTGGAGGAGTTGGATTGTACTTGAAAGATAATGAAGGTTATAATGATGTTCTGCAAATGCCCAGGATGAATATTGAAGGAATAGCAGTGAAAATTATTACAGGAAAAGATTGTGATGATGATCGTATATCGCCCATGCACGGCAAACATAAAGACTTTCCTTCAAAGCCTGCAAAGAGTAATTAACTTCACAAGGTCAGTTTATCAAGATTGTATTCTCATGGGGGATTTTAATGAGGATGCAAAATTTGAAGGTCCAATTCAAAAATTTATGAAGCATCAAGACTTCAGGCAATTAGTAACCTTTAGTACTACTGAAGGAGGGACCATTTTGGATCATGTGTACATATCAAATGCAATACAGATTGATGTCAAACGGTTACCAACATACTACAGTTATCACGATGCTGTTTTTCTAAAATTCGTAGAGAAATAATTTAAATTACAATTGTGATTTGTTCCCATCTATGTAAAAGGCCATTGATTTTATTTTGTGTTGGCTCTGTTTGGTGTATATTGAATTGTAGCTGTTAGTCATTAACTATTCTATTGGTTTTGCACAATTTCGAATTATTGAAAGTAGTTGTAGTTTTCAGTGTGTAAATACACAGTAGATCTACACATATGCAGATATAATTAATAAGAACTTATTCTGAAAAGTCACAATGATAACTATTAGGAGTGTAAAGCAAGATGTAGTGTACCAAATCTGCATGCAGATGAGTATAGTATTATTTGATTTGTAAATATTGTAAAATAATCACATACATTTTCATATACTTAGAAAAAAACTGATAGTACATTTCATTATTTTAGAAAGTTGGTTAGAATATCATTTGTACATAGAGCCACTTTGGTATGGATTAATTAAAAGTGGCAGCGCTTTACTCTGAAATAAATAACAAAGTCAAGATGTGATTCTGACCATCTCCAGTTAGCAGGACTTACACCCTTTAAAAAATTAAAAAAAGAAATGTATTCATTATGCTAGCTCTTTTGCATACATTGTATATTATTGTCTTATTAAGAAATATTGACATGCTCAATGTTGAAATATTCTTTTCCATTAAAAGATGCGAGTAAGTCTTAATTAGAATCCCCTTGTAATAGGGATAGTAAACATGTAATATTACCGTACTTATTAAGTCAAGAACTCTTTGGGTACCCTGTCGCTAGTTCGATTGTTTACATGCTTGTTGTTAATTATACAATGTTGAGCCCGATCATAATGCACATGAGGGTAAAAGAACTTTTAATTATATTTAAGGATTCAAGATTAAAGAATATGCTGTCAGGACTTTCAAATCACACGGACATATCAATTGCATCGAGTATAGGTAATCCAGATACTGAAATTCAAATGTTATTATATCTGATTACTTAAATAAAAAAAACTTAGAAATGAAATGTTCAGGATTTCAAGCATTTGTTCGATTTTATTGAAAATTAAGCTTTGGAGAGTATAATTAATGTAAATATTTTATTGGCTGTTACTTTCCTCCAAAAATGTCTTTGAGAAATTCAGTTTTTGATTTTTAGTAATTTAAAAATTTTGGGAGAAGCTGGGTTATTGTCAAACTGACTTGCAGTTGTTACT